CATTTTTTTTTTTTTTTTACTTTTTAAATAAAACTTACACGTAGAATTTTTGCCCTGTCTGTTGAGCTGGTGTCTCATTGTTTACAGTAACGACCTGGATACCCAAAGGATTGTCGCAAATTTGTCCTGGGTATTCTCTCCTCAGGTCATCCATATCCTCCCAGTCACCAGTTTTATCAGGGGTATCTCGATTAAACCACTTGGTCCAGCATGCTTCAGGAGCAAAAATGAGCAAATTTAGAACAGTAGAGATCATGTTGAAATAGTCTATTTAAGCACTTTTAAACACCAGAAAGATTTAAAAGGCAGGTTTAAGGCTAAAAAAAATGTGTTAATGTTTTTTACCTTGATGACTTAGTCCCACATAGCCTGGTAAATGTAATAAATATGTAAGTTAGTGAATTTTTGCTGATTAAAAATAAAATATTAAACTGAATATTTTTTTTCTTTAGTTGCTGCGGTGAACATACCAAGTAGCAGAATTGCAGCAAATATAAGTTCAAGCTAGAAAAACAAATAAATAAACATATTTGTACTTATATGTATATATGTGTGCAAAGGTACAGTTCATCTTGTACAAATTAAGCAGTAAGATATTTTAAATGTATAACTTTTACCTTCTTGGTCATAATTGCAGAGTTCAGATGTAGATCTAAATAAACAAAAACAAAAAAAACAACAAATATACCATGTCCATTTTCAATACTTGTAGTTCAATATACAGTATGTAGCTTTAGGTTGGTCTTATTAAAGTTTTTTTTTTTTCGTTTTTTTTTTTGTAAATGTAAAAGCCAAAGTTTGTTTTTACCTCAGAAAGTGTGAAGCGTCTCAACCAGAGGGCCTGACAGTCCAATAAGTTGGTTGTGTTGGTCCTTTGCCTTTTATTGTAGTTAGCCTCACCCTGTGGCTTTATCTAAAAAATCAAACCAGAGAAGTGGACACCTACATTCTTTTGTAGTAATTTCATACTTGTTTTGTTGCATTTTTACAGACAAAAGAACCAGATTTACAACAGATTTTTTTTTAGTCTAGTACACTGAAAATTGTTTAGACTTGTGCAAGTGGTTTTTAAAAATTACCTTTTTATATTACCTTTTGGTTAATGGTCTACATACCAACAATATTAACTAATGTTTTTTTTTTTTTAACTTGCCACAAATCTATCAATCCATTTTACATACAGGCTTGCAGGAGGAGCTGGTGCCTATCACCATCAGGTGTATCATGACTGTGGAAACCTCCAGGTATGGTGCACCCTGAACACATCACACATTCACAAAAAGACCTACGACGCAGACAACTAGTCAAACTCTCAATAACACCAACAATACTTTAGTCACAAATTAACCTAACATGCTTTTTTGTGGTCTGAGTGTAAACTGGAGTAGCTTAGAAACTGCAGTCCTGCAAACTCCATATACATAAATGCCCAAGTCAACCCCCTGCTGGGTTATGTTTTTACTATGAGCATTAACCACTGCGCCACTGTGTCATCAAAACGCTACAAATGAAAAAAATATAAATAAAACAAAATACTTTTGTTAAAATATGGAAACTTTTTGGAAATATTGAGACACTTTTGTTTTTGGAATCAGTCATCATATGAGTTACGGTATAAACCTAAACAGCAAAGGGCAGAGTGACACCAGGAAGCAAACTACACTCAGTGACAGAAATTATGAGACAAACTGCAATAATTCCATTATGACTTTCTCTGTACAAAAAGACAACAGAGATCAAGTATCTCTCTAGGTTTTGACTGTTAACAGCTGGTTTGCAAACACAAATTGGAAGAAAATCTTTATAATTTCTCAAAGCACTTGCAAAATTTCTCAATTTCCTTCATGATTTTCTGAAGTACTCAGTCTTGTTGGTTAAGTTTTGAAAATGTTCAAAAATGTGCTAATGTTGGTTAAAAATATCTTCTATTCTTCTTACTTACTAGAAGCCACACTCAAGGACATGAGTAGATATCATAACGGGTTTTACTTGCAAGGGCAGACTTTCACTCTCAGGCTTACACAGCTGCACAAAAGTTCTACATTATTGGAATCGGGACACGAGAATCTTCACTGGGCAGTGTGCGAGAATTGTTTATATCTACGCTTATCAGCTGTCACAGCTCATAGAAAATGATGACCTCAGTCTCCCAGCTGTACATGCAGGATCAAATAAGCGCTACTCTTTGAGAGGGAAAAGAGTACTCTGGTAGCTCATACACATAGTTCAACATTAATTTAACACTAAAAATCTGTAAATCTTGACTAAAATCCCCCTGACAGCTACGTTTGTTTACACATGTACAGGAACTCTGGTTTGACAGAAAAATTCACCATCACACTTAAATCATTGTGGAGTGAGCTGGGTACATAATCATCATGTTAAACTATTTGTGAAGGGTGAAGGGGTCATGTCTCCCTCACATCTAAAAAAACATTTGTTTAGACACCACCACACACACACACACACACACACAGGTTTGTTTTGCTATCTTTGTGGGGCCTTTGCATTGACTTCCATTCATTTTTCATTCATTTCTATAGCCTAACAATGACCTTTATCCATAATCTAACCATTACCAGTACATACGTAACCCTAAACCTAACACATCCTCAATTCACACCTTAGTCCTAAACCTAGCCCCTAACCCACCAACGGGACTTCTTCTTATGGGGCCCGGGCTTTGGGCCCCATAAGGAGCAGTTGGTCCTCACATTGTAGTATAAGTTGGAAAAATGGGCCTCACAAAGTAGCATAAACAAGGACACACACACACACATTTGCCATCAATTATTAGTTCACCCAACACTGCTCTATTTCTTTGTGAATTAATCCATTTCACTTGATTAATAGGAGAATCAGAATCAACTTTACTGTCATTGTACAGTTAAGCGTAGCAAAAATACATTTCAGTGCAGCCATCCAACAAAGGTAGATGGACGTGCACGGAGTCTGCAGCTTAGTTGTGAAGTTCTGCTATTATCGCTTAGATAAGAAAAGGGAAGAAATACATGTGGAAAGAAGGTTTAAAAAAAAGACATCTCTCACACTGTGTCCTTGACGCACAGGGCACAGTGTAAGGTAGCAAAAAAATGACCTCAGTACCAAGCAACATAGATAGACAAAACATTTTGGGGGTGGGTGGGGACAAAGGCAGTGAGATTGTCTATGAATTCTACCAGAAAGTTCCATAGACCTGATAAAGATGACACAGTGTCTATCAGCTGGTTCAGCTCTGATAAGGGTCCACATATACTCTCGAAGGAGTGGGGCAGAGCTTCATGATTTACATATCCTTGAGAAGAAATTTGAACACTTTTTACTTTATCGCTGAAAGACTATTAGTGTCTCAACCCGGACTCATCTACTTGTCAAATTAAGGACTTTAAGGAACAGTACAAATGCCCATCTATCACCAACTCTGCTGGGCCACCTCAGAGTCTACCTGAACCACCTGCTCCTTGTGTCTTTGAGACGGTCTTGGAGGACACCTCGCACTCATCCTCTGAAGTGGTCTTGGAAGACGCCTCTCACTCATCCTCAAAGAGTATCCAGGAGGACACCTCTCACTCATCCTCCGAAAGGGTCCTGGAGGACTCCCCTCACTACTCCTCACCTTATGTGGGTTCTGAGTCACCTGTGGTTCCAGAGTCTCCTGAAGCCTTCACGTCTCCTGAGTCTCCTGTGGGCCCAGTGTCTCCTGTGGCCCCAGAGTCTCCTATGGGCCCAGAGCCTCTTGGCAACAAACCACCTCCATTTATCCCTGTGGGTTCCATGCCTCCTGAGGGTTCCATGCCTCCTGAGGATTACAAACTTCCCAAGGGTTCCACACCTCATGAGGGTGCCTTGCTCTTGGTGAGTTCCACACCTACCAAGGGTTCCACACCATATGAGGCTCCCACTAGGGGTTGAACGAGTATATAATTTCTAAACTCGACATTAACATAATAAAACCCGAGTAGAACTCGATTATTTGATGACGTCATAGATGTCAAGATACAAAAATAAATAAATAAATAAAACCGCAAAAAACGGTAATTATTTACTAAAAAAAAGACCAACAAAACATTGGGAGCGTATATTATGCTCCTACCATTTATCATACTGCAAATAAGTCACAGGAAAAACTAAACCATTAGTTATTATTATTATTAAACTGCAAACTTGAAGAAACGCAGCATGTCTAAAACGAAACTTAAACCGAAAGTGGTTCTGGTTTGGTGGATAGGACCCGGTGTTACACCATACTCTGTGACCTGCAACAGTGCAACACCGCCCCCTACGGTCATACGTGGTCACATAATATGACGTCACTACGGATACCCGATTTTACATTTTTAACATCGATAGATGTCCTAGCAATCGATGTGTAGATTACTCGAGTACTCTGTTAATGCCCTAGCTCCCACACTTCCTGTGGGTTCCTGACAACTCCAGAGGGTTCTATGCCTCACGAGGGTGCCACGCTAATTGTGAGTCCCATGCCTCCCAAGGGTTCCACACCTAGTGAAGGTCCAATACTTCCTTTGGGTTCCACACCGTTTTATGCTGCGTCCACAGCATTTCCTGAGGTGTCCACACTGCTTGAGGTGGCTATATCCTCTGATGTGGCTATGCCTCCTCATACCCCTGGGTTCTCCTCATCGTTATCTATAGCCCCCCTGGTCTCTGTGGCAGCTGCAGTTTCTCTGGTCTATGCAGCCTCTCTGGTCTCTGTGATGGCAGCAGTCTCTCTGTTCCCTGCATCATCTTTTCATTCAACCTTTTTTAGACAGGTTAATCCCATTGAGTCTCGGGGACTCATTTACAAGAGAGATCTGATTTCAACAAAGAGTGATGGCAACAGTGAACAACTCGACAACAATAAACAATCATAAAAAAGGCATACAGATATATATATTTTTTTTACAAATTAAAATAATATGGCAAAAAAGGACAAAGTAGCAGAAAACAGCGAAATTATAAGGCAAATGTAGAAAACTAAAAACAGGAACATGCCAGCATTGGTTCTTGCCAGAAGTCAAACAGATGCTTAAGCCACTTAGAGAGGTCAAGGTTGAGAGCTTCAGATTTTTATGTAAGATTTTCCAGGAAACAGGAGTGGAGTAGGAGAAGGCCCTTTTGCCAAGTTCAGAATGCAGTGAGGGGACACTGCATGTAATAATGTCCTGAGAGTGCACACTGTAGCTGCACTCATGCAGAAACATGTAGGAGGAGATGTATGAAGGCACCAGAGGGAGAGTGCGTGAAGTTAATGATGTCCAGTTAACCAGTGAATACAGGGTGCAGTGATGGGTACGGTAATCACAGCCAGTTATGAATCTTAGTGCACCGTGATAGACAGCATCCAGCATCTGCATGGTGCTTGTAGGAGCATTCATGTACAAAGTAAATAATCAATCAATCAACCTTTATTTATACAGGTAAATCCCATTGAGCCTCGAGGACTCATTTACAAGAGAGACCTGATTTCAACAAAGAAAGAAAGAAGGTTGGAAGATTGG